TTTGGTGTAAAGAAATCTACACAAATGATACTGTCACCATTATTGATGTTTTAGATTCAATATAGAGAGTGTCAGTGATAGTTAGAGTCTCTTGTATATATGGTTTCAGTCCTACCTAAGTACTGTCTTGCTACATATGAAATATAGAAAAGTTACCGGTTGCAAAAAAAAAAAAAAAAGGAATAAGTGATTCAAGCAAAAAAAAAGAAGGGGAAAGTCGGATAGCACTAGAATTTTAGATTCAAGGTTTGGACAAAACATGTGGAGAGTGAAGGAAGAAACATGTATTTGAGTCGGAAAAAAAATTTAAGTTTAGAGGATAGTATAAGGTCGGAATGAAGCTATAGTCGAAGGAGGATCGTGAAGCTGTTTCTGCTGGCTTTGTAACTCAAAGGTGTCCAGATGGTAGTAACTGGAGATCTTTTCCTCTGTACTTTTTAGGGATTTCTCTTTTCTTCTTTTTTCTCAAGCAGAAAAGGGAGAAAGGATATTAAAAGAAGGAAGAAAGGATTTCTTTTTGGATTGGAGATTCAAACCCTTGGCTCTAATACCATGTAAAGAAAAGAGAAGAACTGTCGAAGAATGAATTGCTTGATTATTCCCTCAAACATGTTGGGTTTTAATAGTGTTTACAAGTAATCCTAAAATGGAAAAGAAAGTAATTCCTATTCATAATTACACACAACCATGGGGATTCTAAATCTTTTCCATCTTTACACGGAATGTGCTCTTGTCAAATTCTTAACAGTTACGATCTACACTCTTCTAAATCAAAGGTGGTATTGGAAAGCTAGCATGTATATAACGTATGCATAAGCAGTCATTAGTAGATCATCATCCTGCTAATGTATTTGTTTCAGATCAATGTTGGATGCTTGTATGCTCCTATTCTGGTGGTGGGATGCTCATCTCTACATCTCTGGCCCTCATTTTGTTACTATGGGCAGGTGGTGGAGAACTAATTCAAACACAAAAGCTTTGGGACTTGGCCTAAGTTTTTGCTGGCAATCATAGTGATAATGATATATGCATGCACTTGAGGAAATGAAGATGTAAATGTTTCTGGTTGTTGAACTCATGATGATCCTGCAATTTGTCTGCTTCTGTTACTTTTTTGTTTTTGCTTATTCATCACTCAGTCTATAATCATTTAGCTGCTTGGGGTGCTGACATTTTGCACTTGTGCGTTTTGACAATATGCTGTGTGGTTAGATCCTTAGAGAAGTAGGGTGCCGGAGGGAGAGAAATTTGATGCTTATGTGTTCTGTGGGTGAATGTGTTGCATGCTTCTAGTATTCTTGATGACTGCTATATGTCCTTATCCAAAGTTTCAAATTTGCAATTGCAGAAGCATGCGTTCTGGACTATCCGCAGCGTCCCTACATGGACGGATACTTGCTTTGGCGGCTTGCGTGCTATCAGTTCCTTATGATATTCCCAGGCATGTCCATTATCTAGTATAGTTTCATATATTCAAAGATATATTTCACTATCAGTTCCTCCTGATATTCTGAGGAACGTCCATTATATAACACATATTTTCACATGTTTGAAGATATATTTCACTAAGTGTTATCTTAGGAAGTTCCGGTTGTATGGATTTACTCGAGGGAAATTCTACTCATTAGTGACAAATATTCAAATTTTATTGCAGTTGGTTGCCAGAACACGTTACATTATTGGCTCAATTCGTATCTGAACCATCACCTTTAAAATCTACCGTGACAAAAGCTGTGGCAGAGTTTCGGCGCACTCATGCGGACACATGGAATGTTCAGAAAGATTCTTTTACTGAAGAACAACTTGAGGTATGTTCACACATACATTTATTGTCATTTTTGTACATTTAGCAGATGTATGGGTCCGAATTAGGTGATATATGTGTGTGTGTGTGTGTGTGTGTTCACAGTATATACCCGAGTACAAACCTATATTCAAACAAAAAGAGTTTGACATGTATATATATGGTCCGACTTGATAGCACTGAGTGTAGTTGTACCCACCCAGTTCTAGTTACTTAGATCCTTCTATGCACACAGTCTTTTTGCCGTCCAAGGTTTAGAGTTGACATGGACAATTAATCCCTTTGAAAGTTTATCTACGAATGGAGGTATTAAAAATTTTCTTGTAATTTAAAAACCTTGTTAGACTTAGACATGAACTTCTCTTCTTTTTTTGGTGGTGGTGGTAGGGTTAAGGGTTGTAATTAAATATAATTTATGGATTAGCTTTTAATAAAAATTAAAGTAGAGGCTCTTCTGAAACTTTCTGTAAATTCACCTTGAAAGCCCGTAATACATACACTTGTTAATAGAGTTTAATCTGAGTAAGATAGTTTAAAAGGGTATTTGATTGTCCACGGATTGTTTTTAACTTTTTTATTCATGTGTAACTACTTTGGGAATCTTGTATTATCTAAGTTGTGTGTATCTTGAGAATCTATTACAATGACATGGTTGATATCTTATTGCCAAAAGGCTCTATATTGAATTCCATCCAAAAATAATTACTTGTTGAATGTGAAAATGAAGTATTCTTTTAAGTTTTAAATAGAAGAATTCCATTTTTTATATTTCAAATCCTAGTTCCAGACGGGGATCAGATATATCAGAACAGCTAGTACTTAAATAATTTTAAACAAGCCACCCTTGTAAGTGATGTAATAGGTGCTTTCTTAGCTAACAAGATCGTTTGCGACTTCTTGCAGGTTCTGGCTGATACATCATCGTCCTCATCATACTTTGCCTGATATACATGGTTTGCCTTACATGAGAGATAGAATAAAGATAAAACAACGAGAATATTAGGCGTTTTTCTTTTGAGTTTGACCATTAATGAAATTATATTCTCTTTTTATTGTTTGTTTCATTGTTCTTCTGATAATGATGACATTTTTGACTCAGCCTCTTTACATATTATAAAAATCTACTTTAATTAGTGGATTTATGAGATCTTCAGATGATATTCTCCCACACTCCCACAGAACACAATCTGAATTGAAAATCTTTAATCCATTTCTTGCTTCTTTCCATCATCTGGATCCTTACGGTTTTCATGATCAAGTTTCTTGTGCAAGTGATCGCATGTGCTTTGGGTACACAAACGCTGGTTCCCCTCTTCATGAATCAGGTTGTGGTGAAATCCTGCAAACTGATACAAGAAAACTACTGCTTATGCATAACTGGGTCATTTCCCATCTCTAATAGGCTTGTTTTTTTACCAGCATGCTTAGGAATGAGATGCCAGTTAAGTGCTCCATATAGAGCAATGTAAGAGGAGGGTTTGTGGTCTTCCACAGGTGTCCACTGCCCCCTCTTCACGATATCTTTTCCACAGCATGGGATCCTATTCACTCCCCAAGTTTTAAGGTTTTCGCATGATGATGGTCTTGTCTCATTTCCTGCAATCTTTGGTTTCATGCAAAGCCAGATATGCTATTCATTTGCATTATGATAATTTCTTCAGAGTCAGTTGGCGTTTCTTTCTCTCCATCGATAGGGTTCTGTTTGCGCGAAACATAGAGATCAACAATGAAAGAGATGGCACTATTATTAAGCAGGATAAGAAAAGAGCATTCGGGTGAGAGAGGGGGAACATGGGTCCTAAATTTGAACATCTTGTGTTATTCCTTGAGAAAAGAAACAGTAAGCCAAAAGTTCAAGTGGAAAATTTACAATGGATGTTGAGCTTCTAAATGTAAATGATATACACAGCATCATTTTCTTGATCCAACATGGAGTAATTGAGTTTTTATCTGATACACCATCTTAGTAAAGCGTGAGATTTAAGGAACCTCTAGTGTTGTAAAAATGGCGTGGGGTAACCACTACTCTAATGGCGTGGTATTTATTATCCAGCAATTTTAATGTTGAAAATAGCCACTATATTAAAATTAATATGAAAAAATATTTTTATCCTTTCTTCCATTGCTTTTTCTTCCCAAACCCTCCTTTCTCTCTCTCAAGTTTGATACCCACTCGTTTTTCGTTTTCTTTCTTCCTTTTTTTTTTCATTCTGCCTTGCTTTCTATCGGAATGTCACTTTTATTGACATTTAAAGAAAAAGGCAAATGTGCAAGGTCACAGCAGAATGCGTTAGACCATTTGAACGAGAATTCACCCACTCTCTGCAGGTGGAGTTCTGATTCTTGTTGATGCTTGTGTTGTTGAAAGGATTTGGTCCTTAACTTAGAGTTACAAGCACACAAATTAAGGACATGCAGTCCTTAACTTAGAGTTACAAGTTCAAAAGTTAAGGACATGTAGTCCTGAACTTAGAGTTACAAACTCAAAAACTAAGGACAGGTAGTCCTTAACTTAGACTTACAAGCTCATAAATTAAGGACAACTAGTCCTGAACTTACAATAACAAGCACATAAGTTAAGGACACTTGGTCTTGAACTTAGAGTTGGAAGTTCAAAAATTAAGGACACTTGGTCCTTAACTTAGAGTTACAAGCACAGAAATTAAGGACAGGTAGTCCTTAACTTAGAGTTACAAGCACAGAAATTAAGGATAGGTAGTCCTGAACTTCGAGTTCCAAGTTCAAAAGTTAAAGACATGTAGTCCTGAATTTAGAGTTACAAGTTCAAAAGTTAAGGACAAGTAGTCCAAAACTTAGACTTACAAGCTCATAAATTAAGGACAGCTAGTCCTGAACTTACAGTAACAAGCTCATAAGTTAAGGACACTTGGTCCTGAACTTTATGAGTAGAAGGGTATTTTCGTCCGGGCGGGTAAAGTTTATTAAAGCTATGGCTAAAGAGTAAAGACATTTTAAACAGTGGCTTAAAAGTAAATACATGTCTTATTAGTGGCTAATTGTGCACTTCCCCCTCTAGTGTTAGAGAATATCGATTTAACAAGATTATTTAGTATTGAAATGAAATATGTGTGAAGGATTCATATTCCAGATGCCGACCAATTGGGGATTGAATAATTGTTGATAGACTCATAGTATCTTACCAAAGCTTTTTATGCAGAAAATAACAAAAGAATGCTGGACTCTCGAAAATTCATTTCATTATATATTTTGTTACTGACAGAGACAGAGTAAACCATTGTTTACATAATCAACATTTCCACACTACTAAGAATTCATGTACATTTCTTCTGACTGATCTAAAGCCTGTTGAGAAGGGATGTGAGCAAATATATTTTAACTGAACCTAGCAACTATGACTCCTCTGATAGACCCTACAAAAGCATACAATATCACTATCAGGCAAACCATTGTATACACACGGAGCACTATAGCTTTGGGTTTCCAACTTTCAGTTTTTTTCTGGGTTAAGTACATCTCTACAGGGAAATAAACGACAACAGGCCAAAAAGTTATTGCTCCAGACACCCCCACAACCTGATTAAAGTAAGGGAATAATACTGCAATCCCTGTGATTAATGCAACATATGCTGTTCGGAAGGCTAATCTCATGAAGTTCAATTTAAGTGGCAGCATTAGTAATGGCTTCAGGGTGTGATTCTTGTGAATAAACTTGCTCTCTGGGAATTTCCTGGCAAACCATCTCTCAATATCTGCAAATAGTGGCTGGCTGAAAATCTGTAAAGCATATCCAAGTGAATATAAAAGATCAACTCCGAGGAAGTCAATAATGTTTGTTGGAAGCTTTTCAAAAGCTGAAAGCCGAGCTGGCATAACTGAGTTGAGAAATCCTTAAAAAGAGATACAACTTTGTTTTTGCAAAAACAGGTTTAAAAATACTTTTTCTTCCAAAAACTCAATAGTGGAATTTGCATAACTCTATTTACAAAGAACTTGAAACAGAAATCGAACTACCAGAATGATATTCACTGACAATAATAGTCTACTGCTTAAAAAACTGCGAAAGCACAAAAGTTGTCTAAGAGAATATGGGGAAACATTGTTAGACTTGAAAGAAGATTTAGGGAAAGGGTACCTGATATCCTCCAACAAGATGAAGAACAACACATGCATTAGCAAAATCTACTAGCCAATATGGTTCATAGAAACCGAATCCTGTCAAGAGGTTTCCCGGTGTGGAATTACCAAAGGCTGCATAACCAAATCCCCCACAGCAAAGGTTGAAAAACGTCGTAATACAGACTGCCATTATTGATACCTTCTTCATAGTGATCTTTTCTGGAGGAGGCGCCTTTAATGTGTCCTTCATATTTTTGGATGTTTTAATTAATTGCTTTATCCCGTTTAAGAACATAATTTATTACTTAATGTAGAAAGCAAATTGCAGCACCTGTATCTCCAGAAATATAAGAGAGAATGGAAAGGCAAAGGCAATGTCACCAAGTGCTTGAGCTACCAACCATAGTTTCTCAGCAGCAGTAGAACTTGGCAGTCCTGTAATGCTACCTTTGATTTCTCCATTTTCTGCACATCAAGATTTGGCAAGTGGAAATCTAATAAATATTTATTAGAGATTTTCTGTCTGCTAATGTTGCCTGAGATCCTAGTCATACCATGCTTGTTGATCTGAAGCATTTGTGGTATTAAATGACATATGTGAAAGGTAACCTACCTATTACTTTGGCTAAGCCAAGTGCTGATCCGATAATTGAATATGTGAATGACATGACTGCAGCAACTACGGAGAGCCACTTCATATTCTGAAAATCAGGAATTTGAGACACTATAACTTGGATTAGTCCAAATATAACCATATATATAGTACTTCCATATTGACAGGTAGCGTCATGCCCTTGATCATGATAGCAGTTTGATTTCTGGATTGCTCTGCAGAAATTTAGAGGATGCATTATCAATTTCACCCATTACAGAAATCCTTCTTAATGGACTTCTAAAAGGTGTAAAAGCATTGAGAATAAGCGAGAGAGTTTTCAGAATGCGTGAGAGCAATACCTCTCGGCCCTTGTATATTTGTACTATGCAGCATAGCCTTATCTATAATGATTCCTTATTTCTTTGATTACATGACTACTAATATCATTTGGGAAAAATTTCCTAAATCCAAAAAATATTATGACTTCCTCAATCCAAATCTCCCACCAAGAAAGATAACAAGTTTAAGTTTGAGACTACAATAGCAATATCAACTCTTTTTATATTTACACTGTGTAATGTAGCCTTCTTATAAGGATTCCTGATCCCATTTGTTCTGGAACTTCTATCCCTTGATAATGGGAAATAATTCCTAATTTCACTAATTATTAGATATATCTTCTTTATCCCTCTAATTATCTGATTGGAATGATGATTTGAGTACATATCTCTGCTTATAACAAGATTTCAAAGGTTTACAGTGTATTAATTGCTAATTCTTGAACCCTTAAGATTCCCCAACTAGTTTATCTTAGAGTTGTTAAGGCTTATGGGCATCTCAGAAGATAGTTTGAAATGAAAACCTCACTGGTTTAGAGAAGATAAAATAGGAGGTCTAGCACTTGAATTTGTCTTGGAGATGGATATCAGAGAAAAAGGGTTTTGGATGAATACAGTTATGATGATGAATACTCACTACTCAGCCAGAGTTGCAGAAACACTTCTTGTTCAGTAAATACTAGAACATGTAGCTATTAACACCACCATTTATCGGGATAAAGAACTATCATAAACTGAGAGGTCATTACAGTTGCTATGGGTCCATAATTCATTATATATTGATGGCCAGGAGTTCATTTGTAATTATATATCTGCTGATAGGATTATTCAACAGCAACTGTCCAAGCTACTTCAGAAAGCAACCATCAAAAAATTAAGCTGTTTAGTATTGAAATGCAACCTTTAGTCATGGACAAACAAAACAAAACTTAAGCATGAAAAGCAGCAAAGCTCATAAAGGCAAGGTATGTGCAGAAATTGTTGAAAGGAGACATTGACAATACCAGTGGAGAAAAGATTACTGACATACCGAATGCTGATAGCGGACGTAATTGTATAAACTATTGCAACCTTTATGAAGTTTATACGAACAATGATTCCACAAAACCACACATTTCTTTCTCCTGAGATGCCAGAAGAAAAGAATTAGCCCTTTTGGTAAGAAGTGAATTGCTATTGCAAAAGGTGCACTTGAAATTTCTTACCTAAAATATTGAGAACAGCATCAAGGTAAGATGCATTTCTATTATCAGGGCCAGTATCTGAATCAGGAGATAGATAGCAGTTGCAGAGAAGAAATGCAGAAGTAAGAGTGACACAAGCAAAAGAGAGCATGGTCAATGGACCTGCAATCCAACCTAGCTGTGCCATACTCCATGCTAATGATAGAACCCCAGAACCTATTACTGCTGTTACTATATGTGCCAAAGCTGTCCATTCATTTCCTGAATTCGCACACACATTAGTTTCCCTAATCAACTACCTGTACAGGTTTCAGTTTTTTCCACAAGAAATTACTAGAAATGAATCTATTTCACAAATGGTCACCTCTTGCTCAAACAGCAAATCATTTTCCCATTTGTTTTTTTTTTTTTGATAAAGATCAAGATTATACCTTTTAAGTCAAAATCTCCTTCAATAAGACAGCACTAAATGCAGAGGACAAGTTAAAGCAAGATTCTTGACGATGTTTGGCTATGAACCCAAGTTGTTACAATCAAGACTCAATTTTTTTTTTAAAAACTGAAGCCTAAATGGTAAAGTGGGGATAAATGGGGTTGAAGAAGAGAAGAAAAAAGTGAAGTATATGACAAGAAAAGATAGCTGCTAAAAGTTGACCTTGTAGTTGTGGTAGAAAGACCAATAATGTAATAATTGAAGAAAAGATTGGAAGAAGTAAACAAAGTACCTGTTCTTTTGAGGGCAGTTGAAGATGATGGGGAGGAAGAAGAAGAAGAAGAAGCATAATTTGCCTCCAGAAAAGGCATATGAGAGTCAGCGTCTTCATCAACTACCAAAGGCATAGCCTGAACTGTGTAATATCTGATTATTCCAAGTTTCATGGAAAGTGGCGGCTCAATCTAATATGTGGCCTAAAGCTAAAAGTTAAAAGAGGCCCTAATTTTTTTTAGTAAAATTTTATATAGCTTATTTGATGTTTATTCTTACAGCTTCCTAAATTGCAAGAAAGTTAATTTTATTTGGATAGTTATTTTTTTTCACTTAACAATATGGTCGGTACGTGTAATTCTCATGAGACATTGTTAATCTTAAGTTATATCTTATTAATTTTAGTTCACAAACTTTTTTCAACTAAAGGAACTGTTAGAGAAAATATTAAAATTATTCTATATGCAATAGAAACATATAAAAAATTAGAGTATCGTCTTTTACTTATATAATATCCATCTCCCTTTTAATTCAAAATATTGGTAAAACCATCAATTTTATATTTCATTATGCTTTAAAAGATATTCAAGGTTAATAGCTTGTTTTGGCCAAGCTTTTCCAAGGGCAAAAAATGTCCCCCCCACCCCAAAAGTATATTTTTAAAAAATTGAGCTGTTTGGCCAAGCTTTTGGAGAAACATGCTATAAGGCAATATATTTTCTAATCTAATCGTTTAATAATCTACTTAAAAAAATATTTAAAAAGACATTCAAAGAATTAAAAAAATCTTACAACACCGAAGTTATAAACAAGAATGATTCAAGTTCAAATGCATTAGACAAAACTAAGATAGGAAGTAGTTACAAATATATTTTCAACCGTAATTACATTACATATTTTAAAAGCGTACATAGCATAAACTTTGAAAATATGGACGTAGTGGTTGATAAAAATTGACAACATATGAATGCAAAATATTATTTTTCACTGCAAATAAATATATAATTATTTATATTATATATATGATTAATTTGGGGCCTTAATTTTTTGGGGGCCTAAAGCCATTGCTTTAGTGGCTTTAGGGTTGAGCCGCCTCTGGTTATTACTCTCTCTGTGCAAATTTGTTTAACAATGTGTTCTTTTTTAATATTTCAAAGAAATTGACATATGTCCATTTTTAAAAATAATTTCATTTTTTGGGTTTCCCATTGCACTCGGAGTTATTAATCTGGATTCCTGAAAAAGTTCCATTATGGGATAGAAGCGTGCTGCGAATTCTTTCTTTGGGCTCGAACACAAATCTATGGCCGAATTTTGTAAGGGTATTCAAATTTGAAAGAAATGAAAAAAAATTTACGACAAAGGGTGTTTAATATGTGTTATATATCTTTAAAAAGTGATATTTTATTTATATACACAATAAATTTTTCGAGGAAGGAATGACCATGAGCCCAGCACAATCTTTGGTGGTTCACATTTCAATTTAAAGATATTTTTTTATAAATTGAAAAGGAAAGGCTACAACTTTTGAAGACTACAGATGTTCCATTATGATTCTTTAAGATATATTTGGCGATTAGTGCCTTTCAGCATCTTTGAATATTCTGACAATCAACTACTTGGTCTTTTACCCGCACTCTTTCAAGCAGTACCTGTACAGCACTTCAAATTTGCACGTGACTCGTGAGTAATTAATTACAGGTTAACATATAATGTATTAAAATTGGAAAACCTCTTCTTAATTGGGAGGTTGGAGTGGTTAATCAATCAAAGAATATATGATAGTTGTTATTTTTATTGTTATTGTTATACTGTCACAAAAATTGCTTGATTCTTTCACTATTACTATTATTAGTTTCTCGGCAAGTACGTTACACGTGTATGCCAAGATATATTGTATATTACAATTTTGTAAAATAATGTTAACATTATTAAAATATAGTTTTGAGTATATAATTATGCCTAGAAGAATAAAACATAATTTTTTTGTGAATGATCAATATGGATTGTGGTATGGTGATTTATTTGTCAAAATCAAGATACTGGATATCCACTAATTATGCAACAAAATATTGGAGGCTCATATGTATTTTAATAAATATTATTTAAATAATTATATATATATATATATATATATATATATATTTTTTTTTTTTCTTATCACGACTTAATATAGAATATTTTACCCTAATAGTCCCTCTGTTTTTCGGTGACATAACTTTGTGTCGTCGGAAAGTTGGTAGAAACATAATAATATAATTGAGCATAATTTTTAACAATATATAATGTATATTATAAAAATACCTTTTATTTAAATAATTATTCTTATATTACGTGCATGGAATATATATTTTACAACCTTTATTTTCTTTCATTCTGAATTGTGTAAATAAATTTTTGAATTTTTTTTGTTAATACTAAAATTAATATTACGAACAAATTATTCTAATTAACTTTTTTTACTATGCTCATTATTTTGTTATTCCATCATTATAGATGCTTAAATAATTTTTATTTTTTTAATTTATAAATAATATTTATTTATTCTATAGGCAAATCCATAATATAAATTAAAAAGGAAAAAATCATAATATTAAAAAGTTTGAGAAAATAAAAAGAAGATAAATATTTATAAGTTAGAGGGTAAAATAGGTATTTGGCAATCCAAAATTTGGAAAATCTAGTTAAGTGACCTTCTGAGTGCAATAAGCATAGTTCAGTGACTTTGTTGTTACAAACGAAAGAAAAGTGACTTTAGGAGATAATTTGGGATAATTGAGTGACCATTTGAGTAATGGACTCACTTTTATAATAACTAGTTTCTCCTCACGTGCATTGCACGTGTATGCTAGTTATGTAAATTCGACTTCCATTACTGGTCTTGCTAAGATTGGATTGTTCATCAACACTAACGACTCAAGCAAAACATACTTGGACAAACCTGGACATTTTTTATTCATTATTAGATTTTCATGTGTCTGCTTGTGGCATTTTCTCATAATCTTGCTAGTAAAATATATGAATCCTCATTATGTAGTCGAACAATCATGCAATATTAAACTTGAACAATCAGGCATATATACTGTGTTGAGTAAGTGCATAATATGGAGTTCAAACCAAGTCAGTAATAATGTTTTGAAATAATGTAGAAGACCAAAAGGAAACTAAATTTTCTGAAATCACATAGTTAGGGAACTTTTGATTGATAATTTATGTGATGATGGAAATTAATTACCTTTAAATTAATGGTTGAAAACCTATTATTAGAATATTTAGTGAGGCGTAAGACCATGTGGAATTAGTGTAGTTTGTAAGTTCAAGAATATATACACAATAATAACAAACCCAATGTAATCGTACAGTCTAACTTCAAGAATATGCAGGACATAATATCTGTAAAGATTGGAACTTGATTCGAATTAGAACTTTCATGGAAATCCATATTAGGAAAATATTAGTACAGTTATATCCAACATGTATTAATTAGAGAAATATCTATCTTTTGAAGGGCTCAGTCTTCACTAAGATATACGATGGTAGTACAAAAATACAGGTTCAAACAAATACACCATAATTAAAACATGATGAAATAACAGAAAGTGATGCTCATAAAGAAGAACATAAACCATCAGGGGGGTATCTACTGTACTAATGACGGGTTCAATCAAACCCATATTATTTTTAATTCCATTAAATTTATTTTATGAGGTACAAAAATGTTATTAGATCACATCCACTTAATACCTCTTTAAACGTGATGTCTTGGTACATTTCTTATTCTTCTTACCCATTTGGAAAAATATGTCATGACAAATAATTTAACAGTAGGGTTGACCGATCATATAATTTATTGATTGTCATTATAAATATAAACATATTGAAAATATTTACTAAATATATATAATTTTAAAACTACCAGTCATTTTTTGGCTTGAGAAGTCAAGTTTTGATGAGAAAGGCACGTGTGATAACTTATTGGTCATAAAATTCAGTAAAATTATAAAGGAAAAGAATTATACTCATCAAAGATGAGATCTCATAATCTTTCGATCCCATTATAAATGATTATATAACAACGATCTAGTTGCCTCGTACTATTCCTTCTCATCTTCTCTTAGTTAGGCACTAAGAACACAATTTTATATTTTAAGGTTTTTATAAGTGTATCTCTATCTTATTATAATGGTAGCAACTGAGGTTTTTTTTTTTTTTTTTTTAAATTTAGTTTCTTTTTATGAGTTGATTCACATAATTAAAAGCAAGTATAGTTATATTGAGATATTGATCAACTCTTTAACCCTTTAATAAATATTTTAATTTGGATGAAATGATGATTAACTGATACTTAGGATTTCAAGTAAACTAACCTTTTTTATAATTAATGAATCCAAATCCCACACAAACTGAGAAAGAATAACTAGACGAAGTATATTGTCATCTAAGAAGAAGGCTATTGTGCGAAGCATTTGTTCCAAGAAAAAGTAGCAAAAAACTCTGGATAAAGAGAAAGAGTTTTTACGTTTTTTTATTTTTTGGTGCTTTCTTTTGGTTTGTATATTGTATTGTGTAAAATATCAGAGAGGAGGGTAAAATATTGTATTGTTGGTGCGGGAGGATGAATCCAAAATCAATTTGGATAGGAGTATTTTCACCTTCGCAACTTTTCCCTTTTTTGGCTCGATAGGTGCAATTTAAATCGGAAAAAAAATTCCAGCATTAGGTGAATTACAATTATATCCTTAAATTAAACATATATTTAAGGTTATAAAAGTCAATCAATGTTTCGGGGATATTTTAGTCGTTCGACATTTAACCTATATTATTCGTGCTTTTATAATAATATAGATATAGATAGATATAGATAGATAGATAATATAATATATAGATATAGATATATAAATTATCATTTCGAGTTTTTGATTTTGAAAAAAGAAAAAGATACATTGAAATTTTTTCATAAGCTTTTAAGAAATCCCAAAAATGAGTGGAGAGAAGCAAACACACTTATACAAAATTTAGTACGTCTATTTTGCTATTTGGAACCATTTGGTTTTCGATGGATAACGAGAAAATAAAGAGAGTCATTTAGTTTTTACTTTTTTACGTTATTTAATAAGGTTTTTAACATGGAATCGAATTAATAATAATCTCAACCTATTTACTTTTTAGCAAATATGCTCATTTCTCTCTAATAAAATTGATTAGCACAAAGCAATATTTAATAGGAAGATTTTCTGATTTCTACAACTTGTAGCAAGATTCTTGAGAATCAAAGAGAGAAATTTATACTTTAGCTAATTTAGCACTAATTATTCCCTCAACTGATCCAATCAAACCAACTACAGATACAAGCAAACAGATGATGCTGAAACCCTCAAGAAGAAGCCATTTCTTTGTCCAAGCTCCAATTTTCCTTTGTACTATGTACATTTCCACTGGGAAATATATGGTCATAGGCCAAAAGTTGAAGGCTCCCAATATTCCTAATACCTGATTGAAATAAGGAAATGCCATTGCTATTGCTGTTGTAGACATAACATAAAATGTCCGAAAACATAACCGAAAGAAATTCAACTGAAAATCTGGCAACACTGGGAGTTTGATGGCATAGAATTTATTCAGGAATTTGTTCTCTGGGAACTTCTGAGTTAACTTTTTCTCAACAAATGCAAACACTGGCTGGCTGTATACCTAAGGAAACAAGCATTTCGTCGTATTAAATTGAAGCTTTCATAAACCAAGGGCTAAAGAAAAACACTAGAATTTTAGTACTACCTGATACCCTCCAACCAGATGCAGAACTATGCAGGCATTAGCAAAATCAACAAGCCAAAACGGCTCGTAGAAACCTGTCAAGAGGTTCCCTGGTGTGTCATTCCCAAAGGCTGCATATCCGAAGCCACTACAGCATAGATAGAAGAAAGTGGTGATAACTATTGCACTTATTGATGCCTTCTTCATGGTCTGATTTTCTGGTGGAGGCGATTTTAGTGTATCCTTCACACCATTAAAAAACAATTTTACTATTAGCAGTATTATGATAGCTTGGATTCAAAAACATTAGCTAAGTTGATGTTTAGCTAATTAAGTCCATAGTATCAGGACAAATTCTATGAGCTGGATCCATTATGTATTCACTATGATTAATTAAGAAATCCAGAACTTAAGACTTGAACACAGTAGACACATAAAACCTGTGGAATATCATTACATAATACCTGTATCTCCAGGAGAATGATCGAATAAGGATAGGCAAAAGCAATGTCTCCGAGTGCCTGGAACACTAACCAAATCTTTTGAGCAGCACTCTTTGCCGGTACTCCCACAATGCTTCCTTTGATACGCCTGTTGTCTGCGTATCCAACATCAAGAAAATGCACGAAATTATTCAGTACAAAAATATTTGGAAATTTGAAATGAAAACGAAGAAATTTAGAAAGAGAACAGTCCAAGCCTTACCAATCACTTTAGAAAACCCAAGTGCCAACCCAATGAAAGAGTAACAAAATGACATTAATGCAGCAACGACAGACAACCGCGTCATGTTATGAAAATCTGGTATCTGCGACGTTACTATCTGAATAATACCAAAAATCAGCATAAAGATGTTTTTCCCAGTGTGGCAATCAGCGTTTGTTCCTTCTTTGTGGTAACAATTTGATCTCTGAATTTCTCTGCAAAAATGGTCCGAGAGATTAGTAACTTAACGTAAACATGTCTCATTAAACTTGAATTGCATACACTGTCTTTTGAAGACTAGGCATACTACGATGGATATAACGTTATCTGATAACAGGACGACCAAATGAGCGTAGCAAAGTGACATGTTTATTGTTATTGAGACACTTGCAAATTCTGAGAGTCTAAAATCTAAACTGTATACATAGCTAACTAACCTCATACTTGTTGCACTTGTAATTATATAGGCAATACCAGTCCCATAGAAGCTCACATACTGAAGCAAACCACACACCCACGTCCATTTCTTGCCTGAACGAGTAAGTCAAAATATATAAAAGAAGTTTCTAATCCCCCCCTCCACAAAAATGTAAAAGAGGGAATCCTCATATGAGAGACTGCTAAAAGAGTTTCTAAGATAATTCTATATCATAGGATGGAACAATCTACCAAGATTAACTCTAACAGCATCAATGTAAGAGGGATTTCGCGTTCCTGTTATGGGATCAGGTGACCTGTAACAGTCACATATAAGGGATGCAGATATGTAAGTAACAACTGCAAAATATAACAAGGCGATTGGCGCTGCAATCCATCCTAACTGTGCTGTGCTCCAGGCTAGGGAGAGAACACCAGCTCCAATTACAGCAGAAATTATATGCGCAACTGCACTCCACACAGTTCCTGGCAAGAAAGTACATGTCGGCTGTTGTTTCTTAATCCTAGTTAATGTTAAAACTCAAGGACCGGAGAAAATTTGAGATATCTTAGAGTTTTACCAGTTCTAAGTGCACCTATATCATCATTGCCTGAAGTTTTCTCTTGTTCTAGAGAACGTTCAACCTCCATCTCAGGTCGATGTATTCTCAGATGGCCACTAAGAACTTAGAGATATAGGATCCTTAAAGAAAAGCATGAGCTGCATAAGAACTCCAAATTTATTGGAGTTGGCCACAAGTTTTATCAACAATGATGGAACTTCCACTAAGGAAGAAACGTTTGGTTGTAGTTTTTTGTTGTAAATCTACCTTTTAACTGCAGAGAAGACAAATTTGGGAAATAGAATCTCTTCTTGTCATATAATGACAATAGCATCCTTCCAAGGGGTCCTAACTTGACACCATGAGATAGACATTTCCACAAGAATTTTCACTAATTATACATAGAGTTTAGTGACCTTTAACAATTTTTGTTCTTGTCACTATGGCCATGTATGGATATTAGCTATTTGCATTCATACACTCCATATGCATGTCTTTTTCAAGGCCTGACATGTTCCAACCAAATTTAGTTCCAAATCAATGTGTTCATTATGGATGCTACTATACAAAGAGGGGTCAGCCTACCCCCCCACGACTCCTATGATATATAGAAATCAATTATTTGATTGAAAAAAACGATTGAGATCAATGAAAAATCAACAATTTGGTCTGCTGTGACTGGGGACTACGAAGCCATTATGAAAAATTGTAACGTGAAAATGAGAAACAGAAAAATAGAGACGATCTGAAAAATTCCACCATCTTTACATTGTCTTAATGGTGATACAGTAATTATCGATTGCTTAATGCCACTTGAATTCATTTTTCACAAAGCTATGTCCAGAACAACTATTGTTTCGTATGATACTATACTTTTTAGCCGCGATTCTCAATAATGTGATATTTATGGTGATATGATACTATAGTTTAGTTTGATGCTCAATAATGTGATCATATTTATATTTTCTATTTTTGATAGACTATTTTATGTTCTTTTTGCATTTCCAGGGATAGGACAAAGGTCTAGAGGTCAATGGTCAGGAGAAGACTATAATGTTAGAAATTCACCGTCTCTTGTAGAGACTTCTAGTGTGGCCCACATATAAGGTAATAAATTATTTACCTTGTCTCCCAAAGGAAATAATATATTAGATAATATTCTGTAGTTATGCACTCTTATGGAAAGAAACAATTTTTATTAGGAGTCCCTAGGGCAATTATAATTTATGGAAAAGTCTTTAGAGCTAAAGTATTTGCCTAAGAGTCCATAGCCTACCTATAAATACTCCATCAGTCTGACATCCTACAATAGGCACAGGCTAGAAGGTTCCCTAGGTTTTCCTTCAAGGTTCTTACAATGCGACTCTACCATACTTGAACAACTATGGCTGAAGGTACATTCCTTGTATAATTTACGCTGCGTTGGCTTTGTGTATGTGTTTAAATTTCAACATTTGGGACTATCCCGCAGCTCACAGCTGCTATGATAATACATGCAACATCACCCAAATGCAAACCCTCAATCATAAAAAATGTTCAGTCTTCTCTCCCCAAATCATCAAACTTTAGTATGCAAAATAACAGCAGTACTTTTTTCAGAATGTATGATAAGAAGGTAAATCAAATCCCAACAGAATGATTTCTTCCGTTTACCTAAGTTTTGGTGACAGAGTTATTGGATAATGCGTAATAAGAAATATTGTGAAGAGTAACTTACCAAAGTAGAATGTGGCAGCTTCCAATAAGGAGTGGTTTATAGTAGGACCAAGAGCAGAATCTGGAGATTTATAGCAATCACAAAGTATGGATGTAGCAAAAAGAGTAACTGCTGCACAGAAGAGAATAGCCAATGGACCTGCTATCCATCCTAATTGTGCTATGCTCCATGCAAGTGATAACACCCCTGCCCCTATAACTCCTGTTATTATATGCGCCACCGCACTCCATTTTGTTCCCAATAATATCATCAGAGTATACAACTACACAAATGAACCATACCCAAATCAGAAAACCTCTATAACAATATTCAACATACCATTTCTCTCAGCCAATAATGATGTTTGTGGATCATCTTCTATTTCACCAGCCATTCCTCTCACCTCGTACAATAGAATAATAATCAATCTGTCGTCTTCTTATTTTTCAATTGGTTATGGCGTGTACTACTCCACGTCAACAATATTAAAAACCGCTCTTTACCTATTGGCTACTGCCTTCTTCTCTACACGTTACAGAAGCTATTATCATTGGAAACATATAATATTCTCTTATTTTGTGGTCCCAATTTTCTATCTATTATATTTTGCGTTCAAAACAAATGCTAAATCAAAGGAGATTAGTTATACAGAAATGTATCACAACTCCTTAGCATGCTTTACGTGGCTGACTAAAATTACTTTTAAGCTTTTCAAAGTCCATTTCAGAAAAGTAGGCAACCTCCAGTCCACATCTGTTTTATTTCTTTTGCCCCAAAGCAAGAAACTTTAGATTTTGTTTTCAAATAGAAAATTGTATACTTAATTCTAAGCTCCTGGATAAAGTTTTTTTCTAAGCTTTTGTTTTTTTTAAAAATGAGATAAAACAGTTTAAAGTTATAGAATAAAAATAACATACTAATACTGGATATATATATATATATATATATATATATATATATATATATTCAAGGCTATCATTAAAGAGGCGCTACAACATAAAATGTTTTTTTATATTATATGTGTAGTAATTATTACTAACAAGGAACTGCAACATAAAATGTTTATGTAGGTACTTATTACCTCTGTTTTAAAAGGCAGAATTGGAACTCGCCCCGGGGCGGAGCACTCGTAAACGCCCTTGGGCTTATGTGTGGGGCTTAGTTCCGTGAGACTTACGCCTCGGCCATCGGGGCTTACGCCCCGGGCACGCCCAACGCCCAGCGTACTGGGCTCGCCTAATAGAGCTTTATGCAATTGTATGTAACTAACCTTGTAAATACTCAAATTTTCTTAATAAATAGTTGACTATTCAAAATTACTTTTTTCTTAATCATAAATCATTAAGTTGAGAGTATTTTATGTCATAATTAAAATAAAAATTATTGCACGTTATCCACTAAGACTGATATGATAGTTAATTTTAGATAAATCTTTCATTTAAAAATTATTTATTTATTAACTATTGTTATGTCTTTACTATATAATAGTCCATATTTTTTTTATAATTTTTTTGAAATATTATTTTTTCATGTTCACGAGATACAATACTTATTAATCTAATAGCCCAATATTAGCTAGTAATTATTTACAAATAATTAGTCATCATGGTATTGTATGGTAAATTATGTGTCACTTTATTAACTTGTTGAAACTTAAAAATAAATGATGCTAGATAATCATATTTAAATTATGAATTATGTTTTTATAAAAATTCTCTTTCAAATAGAAAGCATATTAAATAAAAGGAGTATTTTAAGAAAAATATCAAATTATAATATCGAAATTCTTTCAAGATTCATTACTCATTAAGAGATACATATAAGATTTCGTATCGAAGTACATCACTTTTGATGTTTGAGTTGTAACGACGTTGCGGCTAATTTGCATATTATAATATTTGTCATACTTTTCTTGTTATTCATAGTTGAACTATAATTTATAAATATTTTAAATAGATTATTTGTTATAATTTTTGTGATTTTAATGTAATTTTTATAATTATTTTTTATTTTATACTATCTTAAAATTCTTGAAAATAGTTTAAAATTTAAGATCCGTGGGACTTACGCCCATATCATCAGAGCTTACGCCTCGCCTCGTCAGAGTAAAACGCTTCGCCTCACGCCCCGCCTTTTAAAACATTGCTTATTACTAACAAATGAATATTTATCGGAAAAAATATTTTTCCACTGAGAACAGTGGCGGACTTACATTTTGAAGTATGGGTGCTGATTGACTTTGGCCAAATTATGTTATCTATTCATAGATAATACTTAAATTTTGAATAATTGACATGAGGCACCCGCTATGATCATATTTGATCATTGTAAATTTACGCTAAAATTAGTGAAGCACCCACGATCTATAAATCCTGGATCCGCCACTGACTGAGAATCACTATTAAGAGGGCGACTTATGCTAATTTGCTAACAAGAGAAAAAATTGATTCCACTTCGAGTGGAGTAGTCATGAAAATCTTTGCTACTTCTGTATATTTTTTGTTTTAGACACTTAACTGCAGTTTATGTCATTATCTATCACTATTACAGCTCCCAACTCACTGATCAAAAAATCAACTTCCACTTCTTCATGAAAGATTCTAAATAAAAATGAAATATAGATAAATAAACATACGTGTGGTACTAATGCACTTCCCGAGAAAACATCTTAGAGAGATTTATAAGTTGAAGAATTAAATAACTTCAAGCCTCATTATTTACCTTTCAAATAAGGACATGTACAATAACATATTTTCATCTAATTACTGTATGGGTTAAAATTAGATCAGAGAAATTCGGCACACGGAGACATAAGGTCGAGGTCGGACAGGCCGAGGTCGGACAATCATCAATAAGGCAGGTCGGGCAGGCCAAGGTCGGACAGTCATAATAAGGCTGAGGTCGGACAGTGATAAAACAACTAGTTTGCTTTGGAATCCTCAAAAGGAATATTCTACCGAATATTCCCTCTAATTGTACCTTTTCTTTTAGGGTTTTTTCTAGGAAGACCTCTTATAAATAGGAAGAGAAACTTCCCCAAAAAAGGGGGCTCTCTCTCCCTTCTCCCTCTTCTCTCTCTAGAAAATATGTAAACACACCTCTCTAAAGAGATCAGAGGATCTGTGATCCCATACCTTCATCAGATCCAAAAAAGGGTCTTAAGGTTCTTGTATTTGTCTATCATTCACTTTTATCAAATGAAAGAGGACCCGTCTCACTCAAGATCGGGTGAACCTTTTCCTTTATTTACATTTTATTGCCATTTAATGTTACTTAATGCATCTCTCTTTACGATATTAAATCTGGCCATGATCACTGCCAGCATTCATACTCAGCTATGCTTTTCTATTCATATTATTCATCTCGGATCTAGAGTTAATTATCCTTAACTAGGATTTACCCTCCATCTTCTTATTTAATTAGTTTAACAAAAAAGGCCTCTTACTTCTTTTGGTCAAACAATTTGGCGCCGTTTGTGGGGATTTTCTAGTTAAATTTTTTATTTCCTCTAGATCTAGAATTCAATTCTAGTCCACGTTCTGTTCATAAGTATGATTTACCACGTATCTTGATTCATACTAATTACGTGGTAAATCTTCATTCATGCTAGTTACGTTC